ACACATGGGTCGCGTGACCTACGCAGTGCAGCACCTCCCCTCCCCTCCCCTCCCTCTCTTCCCTTTCTCCCCAACGCGTCTCTCTTACCCCTTCTCCTTCAGCCTCCGATCTCTCCAGAACAACCAGAACCGGCTCGGCTCATAGCCGCACCGGGTCGGACGTCGTACGGATCAGATTACGACTGCGCCGGCGAGGCCAAAAATAACATCAAGATCCTCAGAGAAATGGAGGGAGGAGTGGGGGGGGGGCGTAGTCGGGACAGGACCGCGACCTCCGTCTATGCGTGCGTCACCATACGCAGACCCACACGGCCAGAACCCGAGAGCTGTCCGTCACTGAAGGGCCTCAACTCCTTAGGGATGGGCATACTATTGTGCCCAGAAGAAAAGGGGGGGGGGGGTGAAATGTCATGGCCCTCTCGGTAGGTTCAGGACCATACCATTGGAGCTTATAGGGACCCCATGGTATTTGTAACCCGTGGCATGATCAAGGGTTCCCTGAGCTCCAATGGTGATCTTAACCCCAGCGAGCGGGCGCCGGCGGCAGCCGTGATATTTGTGCCCTCTCGGGGCGGAGACCTCAACGCAAGCAATAGGTGGGGCGCAATTTGAACGCTTTCGTCAGCCGTATTAGCTCGGCAAGATGAACTGAACAACGAACCCCCGTCAACCGGGGGAACCAAATGAGACACGATGACACGTATCACATTAGCTGTAATACACTCTCAGAGAAAGGGCATTGTCTTATGCACATCTTTGCCTCAATGGGCACCGGGATCGAAAAGAAATGCGCATGGACGATCGAAAGATTTTCTCCGTGTGGATAGAAAGGAATGTGTGATAGGTGTCACATTAAGTGTTTTTCTTCTTTCTTTTTTCTCAGTGCTGATTGTAGCGTATATGGCGTGGGGACACGGTCGTGTACATACGTCCACAAACACACACTCGGGTGGACGGATTGGACAACCTTGCCGGGGCTGGGCCGGGCTCCGGCGGGCTCCTCTCGCTCAAGAGGAGAATGTCGCCGCAAATATAGGAAAACTCCACAACACAACTCGCTACATGCCACGGCGAGCAAACACTCGACCACGAAGCTTTAGCGGAGCGCTCCCGCCAAGCAGCCGATGGTCAATCCAAGGCGACGAAGACGCCCCGCAACGCCCCACCACGCCCCGCCCCGCCACGCCACGCCACGCCCCGCGCCCCGCCCTCGCGCTGTAATCATATGATATGGAAATTACACAGGAACGGCCGGCAACAACCTTGTGTCGGGCCGCGACCTGAGCCGATTTGGAGATCAACGGACAAACAATAAGCGCATTATTGGGGTCGTCTAATGAGAGTGGTGTGAGGCCTGAATCATGTCCATCGGCTTCATCACCACAAGAAGAGAGGTCATTCCTCTGGGCTCAACATATGTTCAAGGCGGCTCGCGGCTCGCTTTTGACGCCCATGATTTAACATGGAAGCGTGACCACATAGTGACTACATAGCGGCCACCGAACGCGTTGAATCATTTTCCTAGTCCGCTGCGGGGGAAGGGAAGGGGTTGCATGTCGGGCTCACGGGAAGGAAAGAGAGAGAGAGAAAGGGAAGGGGGATCGGGACCGGGTCAGTTGAAGAGCTCCGACGCTTCCGAAATTTACCGCCGTTTCAATAATTGTAAAAGTAAATTTACACTAAACAATATAATATTTGGTTGAATACCTGTACAATTGTGATGGTGAAATGTGCTGATCGCAAAGTAATTTTTAATTAAGCTAAGAATTTTTAGTTTGTCACATCTCTAGCTATGGTCCTCGCGTTTCTCTAATATCTTTGGACCCACAAGTCATTCATCCCATACGAGCCAGCTTTACGGACGCGCCACCCGGGCCCGCGCGGGCCCGCCGATAACCAAGTCCCAAAAATGGTACAGACCTACCGGTAGTTAGACGGGCCGGAGGTAGCGGCGGCGGACCGGGCGGGAGGAGGGAGAGGGGCTCGGAGAGGGGCTCGGAGAGGGGCTCGGAGAGGGGGGAGGGCACCAAGGTCACTACACCACGCGTCCACGCGAGACGCGGTGCGGCCAGCAGCAGCACGCTCGTGATTAACCAGCTCACCTCTCACCTAGCCGCCTAGCCGCGGCCTAGCCGCCCCCGGCCCGCCAGCGAGCTCCACTAACGGGACAGGGCACCACCGCGCGGGCGGGCGGGGCATTTGGTGGAGTAAAGAATTTGTGCAAGTGTGCAAGGAAGTGAGCAAGCAAACGATGTGTATTTCAGAGTGAGTGTGTATGAGTGAGTGTGTATGTGTGAGTGAGTGTGAGTGAGTGTGTATGTGTGAGTGAGTGTGAGTGAGTGTAGTGAGTGAGTCAGTGTAATGAGTGGAGTAAGTGAGGTAGTGAGTGTAGTTAGTGAGTGTAGTGAGTGAGTGGAGTGAGTGGCGATCATCCATAAAGTAGGTCCGCTGTTTTTCGCCCCAAAAACACACCCTGCCCTCCTCCTGTCCACCGCTGTCCGTTTTCGAAGACCCCCCCCCCCCTATTCGGACGTCCGTTTTCACCTAGGCTACGCCCAATTCACAATATCAGTTTCTTTATGTGGTGTCAAAGAATACGTTTTTAAAGGGGAAATGGGTCTACTGGTACAATAGGAGAAGACAATGTGAAGAAAATTGAGGGAAAAAAGCACAGTTTTCGCCTAATTTCTCGGTGTTTGTACAAGCGCTCGGCCCGTGGCCCCAGCGACGCATCCTCGCACCGGCAAGCTCGCCTCTGTCCTGGCTCATCGCCGTATGATGCCCCTCATGCCTCCCGTCCTACAAGAGATGCCCCTCATGCCTCCCGTCCTAGAAGAGGCCACAATTTTCGCACTCCTTTTTGATTGGCAAACTTTGGCCGTCTCGGTTGGAGACTTGACACTTTCTGGCCCCTTCTTTGCTTGAAGAGAGAAAACTTGCCCTCCAAAGAGGTAAATAATTGTCCTTCTTTAAATGTTAAAAAAGGACCAAAAAGACAGGAGTCCCAAATTGTTGGCATGCTAGGCCACTAGAGCGTTTAGAGTGAGGCGGGGAGGCAATGAACCGCGTCATGTTCTTGTTCCCACCGTCTGCGCGTCAGCTTCGCGTCGACGACAGGTTCGGCACAGTTCAGCTGCACGAGAGGAGGCGGAGCGCCAAAGTGTCGCGAATATTCCTTTCTGAGCGCCGCAGTGCCCCGAACAGGTGTGTGTGTGTGTGTGTGTGTGTGTGTGTGTATGTGTGTGTGTGTGGCGGCTGCACGCCATCGCGGCGCCGTCGGTGGCGTCGATACAACATCGGAGCAGCAGCAGCCGACTCTGCACCAATTTGACGTCGTGAGGTGATTCGCATGCGGCGGTGCGGCGAGATAGAGTGGGGGGGGGGGGACGACGTGGGTTGTATACGTGACTGGAGGCAGGTCCAGCGTGGCTGCCAGCCCTGCCAGAGCGGCGCCGGGAGCCGGTCCGAGGCGGTCCAAGCCGAGCTAACCTGGTGGGCCGGGCGCGCTGGCGGGCGGGAGACAGCGCACGACGGGCAGGATGGGGAGACGGAAGCCCTGCGTCGACGGGGCCCACCCTCCAACAGAACGAGAATCGAGGGCAGAAGATTTGGACTCACGGTCCCGCCTGCCCCGGCCGCGTCCTGCGCCCAGCGGCCAGAGGATACGCAAGGCACAGGGGGCGTTGGCCTCCTGGAGAACAATCGAGCAGCGAAGAAGGGGGGACGACCAACCACAGGCGGGCGTCTGCGGTCGACCTGCAGGAAGAGAGAGCTGGCTGGATAACGGCTGCGGAGGGTTGGCGTAGGCCACCCGCATCACAGGGCTGCCCGCCGACCGCGAGGGTTGCCTATGCCGAGGAAGACAGGCTGACGCCTGCGGAGGGTTAGCGTAGGCCGCCCGCTCCACAGAGCTGCACGCCGGCCGTGAGGGTTGCCTATGCCGATGACAACAGGCTGACGCCTGCGGAGGGTTGGCGTAGGCCACCCGCTCCACAGGGCTGCCCGCCGACCGCGAGGGTTGCCTATGCCGAGGACGACCGGCTGACGCCAGGCCACCCTACAGCCACGCTACAGCCGTTACAGCGTTCGGTGATCGGACGGCCGATATGCGGACTGCACAGCGCGACGCCACGCTGTGCCTGGCGGCGCCTTCTTTCCAGCCCATCCAAGCCGGCGGGCCAGGACACGAGACTCCAGTTTTCCTCCTGTCCAGGAGACCTTCCCAACTGCCCCTCTGGAAATACACAACGCTCCGCGCCGCGCCGGGAAAAGCCCCTTCCCCCAACTCCTCAACTTTAATAGAAAAATGTGCTAATTGACAAAAATGCCTCGGCGCGTGGACGAGGAATGCCTGCCGCAAAGTGAGTGTTGACTGTGTGTGTGTGTGTGCGGTGCGCGTCTTTTTAGCATTTTCATTGCTTGACTTGTTTTCCAATTTGTGTCGCGAGACGGGCCGCGCGCAACGCCGCGCGTCGTTTCCGTAAACAATGATGTGGTACTTAAGTGGGCCTCCGTTTAGGGGTCCGCGGGGACACCCTAGTGGTGCCCCCGCTGCCTCGGCGTTGATTTGTCATCGAGCGATTATATCGCTTCTAGGTAACGCGCTCTCTCTCACTCTCACACAGGCACGTCTGTGACAGTACGCTCGCAGTACATTA